CACACACACACACACACACACACACACACACACACACACACACACACACACACACACACACACACACACACACACACACACACACACACAGATATTATAACAGAATAATAAACGTATTATACTACCTGTACTTTGCAAATAACGGACTAGCAGTACTTCAATGGACAATCCAGTCTCTAGTGTTTACTTACAACTTATTGCACAGTCCCTCTCTACCTTTCATATTTCATTTTTGATTCCTGTTTTTTTTTAAAAAACATGCACAAATACACCACAGCGAATTCCTTGTATTAGTAAACCTGCTTGGCAATACAACCCATTCTGATCCATGTATGTATGTATGTATGTATGTATATTTATTTATGTACATTGATCTTTGGCATTAAAGCCATTTTCCTTTAATATTCTCATCAGCATGACATTTGTTCATCACTCTTCTGCTGCAGGTTAGAGTAAGACGTGTTTTCACGAGCTCGGCCTGTGCTTTCAGAAGGTTTGAAGAAATGTCTGATCTGCGTAGCTTTGGTTGTCTGACTGCGAGGAAGTCAACCATGCAGCGCGAGTCAAGAAAGAGACGCTTCTCTGAGGTTTCGCATCCCGGAATCCGCAAGAGAAAACCAGGAAGCTTCTCAAGGGAGAGGAAGAGGCTCCGGCTCTGCGGAGAGGAGAAAGGGCAATGTCATCAGCCCATCCAGAGGCTGCGCTGGGGATGCATTAAAAGGCCCTTCAGTGAGTTCACTGAGGACATTGAAAATCCTCAAGAGCTGTCCCCCCTCTCCAAGAGGAAGAGGATAACCACTGGGGAAGAGGTGACCATCACTGAGGTTCCTCATACCCCAGAAGTGTCTCCTATACCACCAGTGGATCCTAAACCTAGGGTCAGGATCAACAGGATTGTCTGGGACCTGCCCTCTGAGACGGAGCCAAAAGCCTCACAGAAAAACATTTGGATCATTGGTTCGAGCTACATCCACCGTGGGGAGAAAGCTGCCTTTGACTGCTTTGGCCAGAACTTCGGCCTCAATGCTAAAGTGGAGTGGTTTGGCAAAGGAGGCCTGCGGTGGAGTGGAGTCCTTCCTCGCTTTTCCAGCGAACTGTCCACGCGGGGGGCCCCAGACATTTTGGTCGTTCACGCTGGTGGGAACGATCTGGGCCTCATGCCAGCCAAGAAGCTTGCAGATGAAATGAAAAGGGGCTTGATGCAGCTCCACAAAGAATTCCCCTCCATGAGGATTCTTTTCTCCTGCATCAATGAGCGGCAGGCGTGGCGCTACGGTGAACCAAGGGCCATCAACGGTGACAGGAGGACAGTCAACAAAGTCATGCTGAAGGCTGTTCACCAGTTTGGAGGTGAAGTGGTTGAACATCCACTCCTGAGGTTTTTTAAGACAAACCTCTATCTACATGACGGAGTGCACTTCAGCCAGGAGGGAAACAACATCTTCCTGTCAGCGATTCACAGAGTCCTGAAGAAGATGCTCCTCTAAGAGAACTTCACCTGACTCCTCCCTGTGAGACAGTTGATGTAAATAGATTTAAATAAAACAAACTTCCTGATCAGTCAGGAAGCAGTGGACACATTAACACTTTGTCTGAGTGTTAATGTACTCGTCACCTGGATCACTGGATGTTGATGACAGCACATGTGCTTTGTGACGTCTTCAGCAGGTTTCCAGTCTTATCAAAAACTCAGACATTTACAGTACAAGTCACATTCACCCATTCATCACAGTACAAGATATCGCTAAATACTGATAAATTCTGTGTTAAACATTGATGTTATTGTGAAATAGGAACAAAGTTAAACCTCAAGAAGAAATCCCAGCCTGTGATGCAACAATGAAAGTTTGTTTTTTCAGAGAATTTGAATAATAACTGTTTTCATAGTCTATAATATCAATGTTAAACAGTAACACTAAAATATTTCTTGCAGCTGCAGCTTATGTCCAGCAGGTAGCGGTATAACACCAAGAATTAGCCTTAATGCAAGTTTATGGCTCTGTTTCTGTCTGATCCACAGGTTCTGTCTAAATTGTTAATCATTTGATAACCCTTCAGTTCAATTCATTCACAATTAGTAAAGAGAAGTGAAATATTAAAACATTTCTGATGACAAAATTATTTTTCAACTTAAACTTAAATTACAAAATATTGAAAGAAAATGATTTTACCTTTTAATTATATTCAGGCAATAGTTCATCTTATTTATTGTAAAAAAAAATTATATCAAGGATAATTTAGATTCTTTTTCTCAAAACTTTGGGCCTGTGGTCCATGTTGCTCTGAAGACAGGAAATGACCAACAAGGGACAGCAGAGAATAACTATTGTTCATAAAGATACCATTTAATTTCTATCATGTTATGATTAGATACACCACAACATAACCTGGTAAATATATGTAGCGTGTATTTATCTAGACACTTTATAGACAATGTATTTTCGAACAAAGTGGCTTTTAAAAAAATTACGCCTTTTACTTTGAAAGTAATCAACGCTATCGCTGAAAGCTGCTTTTATTGTGACACACCACAGGAAGTTCCTCTGCCCTGTGTGTGTAGATTGACGGCAGCCCGACACTCCTCCCTGCTCAGTCGACAGCAGCGGATCCTCCTCCTCAGTCTCCCCCGCGTCCTCCGCCTCACACACGGCGTCTCTGTCCGCTCGACCCCCGGTTCCCGTGCGTGGGACTCAACGCGTGTCGTTCTGGGGGGATATTCCTCCATTCCTCCATTTTCCTGCCTCTCTGTCGGAGCTTGAGGAGCCAGCACCGAGCGCAGCCCGTGTCTCAGCCTGCACCGGTGGGCGGATAAAAAGCGGAGGAGGGCATCCGGAGCAGGGCCCGGCAGCTCCGCGGAGTCGCCGTGAAACCCACGGAATTCACCATTTTCAGGTAAAGACACAAAACATTCTTCCACAGCCACATTTCTCCACACGCGATCCCTGTCCGATAATGGACTCCGTGTCGCTACATGTTGTTCGACTGGGAGGGACGAGGAACAGTGCCTGGGTCTAAATGTCAACACAGAGGAAACGGCGGCTGTAGAATCATTCTTGCGGTTTTTTCTTATTTTACAGTTTCCGTTTTGACTGTTTATACACGACACTGCGATGCCCCCTCCTCCTGCGTGTTCCCAACACAGAACATCTTCTATTTGTTTGTTTACACAACACATTGTGTTATTCAGCCGAGCCACCCCCCAGGGACAGGATCCCTAATGTAAATGTGAGAGGATTTTATACATCTGTTAAGGAATTAGCATCATTTCAGCTCAAACATAACGTTTAGTGATTGTCAAGACAGAGAAGAACATCACTGCATTCTCAGTGTCCATTCTCAGGACTGTCATTGTAAAATCAACATCATACATTTAATGTCAAATCGATTTTTAACATAAGACCTTATATAACCATTATAGCAATATCATACATTTTCTTTGATAACCTCAGCCTTTAGCTGCTGACCGTGGCTGTACCTTTGTATAAATGTGACACAGTGATGTTTCCTTCCACCTTTCTTATAGATATTTGTTATTATGATGATATACTGTTTTGTTTTACTGAAGTGTTTGTGTTGATTACAGATATCTTTCTATTATTGAATGCTTTAGTGTGCATTCGTTTTCAAATCTTAACTAATGTTTCACATCTTATGTTTAGTCAAACACCTGAAAAGCACTTTCAATTGCATTTGATTTGTTTGAAAGTTGCTATATAAATGAAGTTGGATTGATTGATATAGCAAAGCAACATTTGTCACAATGCACATTTGCACATTTCAAAATGTTTCAAATTTTGCCATTACTTTTAATAATACAGCAAAATATAAATCTAGAAACATTTGCTTTTTATGGAAGGGTTTAGTTCTGTTTGTGCTGTGTCCAGATCATGAGGAGAGAAAAATGCCTCCTGCAGACCCGACAGCATCTGTTGACTTGTGGAATTTGCCTGCACTTGTGTTCAGAATAAGCTTCAGATGACTGTTGACTTTCGCCAGTGCCATCGAGATGCTTTTTGTGAATCGTGACTTAAGGTGGGAGATAATCCTGCTTTGAAACGACCTCTCGAGTATAGGCATAAAAATCTCAAGCGTACACCATTGCACCGTCCTGTTGTTACCTTGGCAACTGAGTTGTTAAGGGAATTGTTGTCAGATGAAATGGCATCTTAACTCCTACAAAATCATAGATAGGCGGTAATATTGACTGCTCGTCATCAATATGTGATTCTCTTCATCATTAAGACTCTTTCCAACTTCCTGTTTGACCTGGATTTCCTTCCACTGCCCTTCATGTAGATCAACCAGCCACTCATTTATGTGTATGTGTGTGTGTACTGACCCACATCGAGACTGTTGGCTAAGAGTGATACACCCCCCACAGGACAGGGTAATTACCCTGACAGCCCCCTCCCCATGTCTGTTAGGCGGTATAGCAGAGCTGGTATTGATCTGAATGTGCATTATACGGCATACAGCATACAAACACCCACTCTGTCTTTTTGAAGGATAGATGGATAGATGATGGTTTTCAGTAAAGTAGGTCCTCGCGTCACTTAGACTGAAGTCTTCAGATGTGTGATTGGTTTCAGTTTGAGTAGTTTTAGTGACGTCATTGGCTCGAAAATACCCATCAGTATTAGCAGAGGTCACACTGAGAGTTTTAGGTGGATGCATTCCTGTCAGCAAATCCTTAAATTGCTCTAGATCATCTGATTTTATTTGTTCGAGAGGATGCTGTCTGGATTGATGATCACATTTAGCCACTTCTTCATCTGCTGATTCAGGAGCATCTCTGTCCACACAAGTGTTTTAGCTCAGTAAGTGTTTTAGTCCCATTCCGTGCTAACACACCTGAATACGCATATCATGTCCACTGGGCACGCAAGCACCATTGTGTACAGGAAGCATTTGCTTGAGTTGACACAGAATGCTCGAAAATTAGCTCCTTTGCATGTCAGCAGTTGTATCATTTTAAAATGCAGATTGTAACTGCACACCAGCTGTTAGCAAAGACAACACTTGTAATTGATAATCCATGTTGTGCTCTACACTGGTAGCCGAGTCTAATGCCAGTTGTTTTCTTCTGGAAGAGGGTCATATGATAGGAGCCTGACAGGAAGTGAAGGCTACATCGTGACCCAAAAAAATCAGCAAGCAGTTATGAGAGTGTCTACGTCATAGTTTCCAAACATCTCCATTTCTGCCCATCCAGACTAAAACGCAGCTCTGGAGTTCAATTCTAATCAATTTTATTTGTGTAGCGCCAAATCATAATATACATTATCTCAAGGCTCTTTACATAGTAAAGAGTTTTAGAGCCGCCAAAATGGAGAAGTTTGATAACGCTGCTTGCCTCATTTTAGTTTGAAAATGAAAATCTAGTAGTTTGAATGTCAGTCAATCAATTCAAGTACGACTCTTGCTTGTGAAAACAGTCGAGTGATGTTCTCTGTGGCTGTGGAGGAGCTTTCTAAAATCTTGATGAAGTAAACCTGATGATTCTATTAGGGGTTATCTCCACTTTGGTTTTAAAACTAAAACATTTATACCATTTTCTAGAAAGCTTTGTCTGCTTTGATTTCCCCTCAACCTTCAAGATCAGTACTACATCACTGAAGTGAAGAGACAAGTGTTCTTGTTAGAAAAATCTGTGAAACGTTGATGTGAGGCACAGACTTTGCTCACAGTTGAAAATGTTCTTAACGCTGCTGTCCCATAATGTTCATGTTGTTTAATGTAAACACTTCTTAATACTGTAAATGTATCACTGTGCAGAATCACGAGGTAGCATCATCTGTGATATCCCACCATGCTTTGCAGTAGAGCTGGCTGCACGTACTAATGAACAACCTCCAAAACACTGTTGCCACTGACAACCAGGCCAGCAGCTTGCTATCTCTCTCATTTATGTAACTCCAACTTGTGCAGTGTTTTATTGATCACATAGGTGTGTGTGTGTGTGTGTGTGTGTGTGTGTGTGTGTGTGTGTGTGTGTGTGTATGTAAGCTCAAATGTGCACGAGGTTGTGCTTGAACGTGTTCCAGTGAGTACAGCTCAGCAAATGTATGTTTCAGTGTGTCTGCCGCTGTGCTGCCACAGGGTGGGCATCATGTAGCTGAAGTAGTAATTATTGGGCTTTTTTGGGGTCTGACTAATTCTAGGGCTTCAGAATGAGTACAATTAGTGTGGGCTGGGTGCAGCTTGAATACACACTTGCACACATTTGTAGTCATATGAACGTACACACATACACACACAAGGAAAGTTATGTGAGCCATGCAAGGAATGTGGAGTGTTGTGAGTCCTCTCTCTCTCTCTCTCTCTGTCTCTGTCTCTCTCTCACACACACACTCACACACACACACACACACACACACACACCAGCTTTTAATCCGAGCTCTAAAAATTGAAGCATGTGGGTCACACAACAGCAAACACCTATGTCACTGTCACTGTTTGGCCTCAATCAGTTTGTTGGTTGTTCACCACATCACCTTCGCCATCTTGTCTCTGCGTTGCAATGATCAGTAAAAGTAACGGTCGTTACCATTGTTTGAAGTATACACAGAAGCATAGGCCGATCCTACATATAAGTGTGTTATGTAGTGTGGCTTTGTGTTTTTGTTCAAACACAGTTTGCCTTACTCGCTTTGGTCTGTTCTACATTGTCTCTCCTCAGACACACACACACACACAAACAAACAAACACACACACATTTGATTATTATTCCTGTATGTTTTGGCAATGTGACCTGTCCAGTTACCTCTTGGATAAACTGTCCTTGTGCTTTCCTGGGTGTGTGTTGTTTTCATAAACTGGAGATTAACTAGTGGCCTTGTTAGAGCAGCAGTAGGTAGGGATTACACACACAGACAAACACACGCACGCACGCACACACACGTGCACACACACACCTCACAAACCGACAAAAAAATCATGAAGTCACTTCCCTCATGTGGTGGACACTTTAAACTGTATTGGTGTCATTTGACAGTGAAGATGAATACTGATATATTCGTCTCAAACACACGCACACGCACACACAGACCAGTGACCTTTGAACCTTACTGTTTTTATGTAGCTTCAATTCTCAGAATTTAACAGCTTAAGTTCACCTATAAACCCTTGACTCTGCCTGGCACCCTGTATTATGAACCTTCATAACCGTTAAAATACTTACACATTTGCTGACTAGGACAGTGGTCGTGTCGGCGTCCTGCTGCTCTAACCAGGTGCCACCCCTCACCTGACTGTTCCGCTCATTTTCCTGTTACTGTGAACAATGTGTTTGACCTGGACAATCTCCTGCTGCATTCTTCATATGTGAAAGACAAATTCTAGAAAATGTGTGCATCCAATTTTGCAAAAATCTTCCTGAGTTTAGGTCAGAAACTAGCTATAGGTTAGTGTGGTGTCATGAAAATGCAGGAAAACATCTAATTGCAATTAATCTGACCAAAGATTTAATTTATATTGCGCCTATTTCACATAAATATATTAATACAAAAACTACAGGCTTGCTGGTGATCTGAGTGGCATTGAACAAGATACGATTGTTTCAAACATAAATGTTTTTATAATGTAAGTTAGAAAAGCATAACAATTAAACCCAGATTTAATATTATATCTTATTAATGGCATTGGTGATGCCATAATGTGAATCAGTTGCAGCTGCATAATGGCAATCCACTGAGTAATCACATATTAAAAAAAAAAAAAAAAAAAGTGTTTGCATCTGTCTGTCATCCCCTCATGATACTGCTGACATAGCTTCTTCAGCTAGCGCTAGCTTCACTGATGATAGTCGAGAGCCACAAATCCCCTCAAGGTTCTAATGCACTGCTTTCAAGGTGGTGAGCTTAAAACAGCGATAAGATGTGCTTAGAAGGTT